GAAGGAAGGGCAAAGAAACCTGACATCTGATGCGAGATCACCAAACATCCGTCCATGAATGGAGCACAAATTACACTAGTTTACTTTCATTTGATAATGATACATTATCAGTCTATTTACTATAACACCTACTGTAGCAGCTACAGCTCAAGCTCATCATTGCTGTGTGGAAAAAAAAAAAGATTAGGAAAAGCAGCAGGAATACGGGGAGAATCAGACGGAGACAGCGCGCGTTCCCTTTTTCTTCCTGAAGATGTGCGTGTGTGTGTTTGGAATTTTTCAAAGAGGAAGGGAAAGCCTAGGAAAGCCACCGCTCACCTTCTCTGGAGCCTCCCTCACCAAACACGGCTAGCAGCTTGGTAGGAGGGGAAAAAGGCCTCCCTTTGGCTTGCCTGTGAATGGGATCTCTTCTTCCTCCCCCACCTCCTGCTCTCTTCCGCCGACAGCGAGAGAGTACGCGACGCAAAGCAAGCAGCGGCGCAGGCGCGCAGCGGCTACACCACCGGCTCCAGCTCGCAACACATCCCTGCCATCCTTTTTGACTCCGGGATCCCTCTGACCACCCTCCTTGCCTGCCGAGGATCCCATCCCACTAGCTTCCTACTACTTCCCCACGTCCTCTCGATCTGTCTCCCCGTTCCCCTGACCAGCCGAGCGTCAAGTGGCAGAGAGGGAAGGCGGCGGCGCGGGTGAGGATCAATGGGGACGGGGAGCGCGCGGGCGCTGGCCCTGGCGCTCGCCTTGCTTCTCGCCTGCTCCGACATCGCCGTCGTCACGGCGCAGGAGACCGAGCGGATCGAAGGTACGCGGCGGCGGCGCGACCCTCTCTGGCACTCTCTGCTTCTGTTCGCTTCCATCTTGTTTCTGATCTAGATGAGTACGTTTTGTACGACTAGAGCTGCTCATTTTCTCTAGGGTCCTTTTGGCCTGTAGTAGATGGGCAAAGCAAGAATCTTGGCATCGATTAGTATGTCGGTTTGATCTGTTAGGCCTCTGAATCCTGAATTCGTATGCTATTGGGTTACAGATAAGCAGAATGCAGGTCGATCCTTTGGTGTTCTGTTCATAGTTATTTGATCTGGTTCTGACTTAATTCAGTTAAAAACCACGTTTTTTCGAACATCCTGCAGCTCACATACATGCTTTAGATTTTTGTGGTTGACCAACTGATGCACTCTGTAGTGTCAAATAACCCATCAAGCTTGACAAATAGGATCATACTCATGGAGCATTCAATGATACATGATGATAATCATGATTCGTTCAGTTTAACATAGGTGCACAATTCGTTTTAGGCCTGGTTTAAATCCAGCGTGTAAAGTTTGGGGGTGTCATATCTGGTGTCACACGGGGGTGTCGCATGGGGTGTTCGGATACTAATAAAAAAACAAATTACAGAATCCGTCAGTAATCCGCGAGACGAATTTATTAAGCCTAATTAATCCATCATTAGCACATGTGTTACTGTAGCACCACATTGTCAAATCATGGACTAATTAGGCTTAAAAGATTTGTCTCGCAAATTAGTCACAAACTGTGCAATTAGTTATTTTTTAGTCTATATTTAATACTCCATGCATGTGTCCAAACATTCGATGGGACGAGGAGTAAACTTTAGGGGAAAGAACTAAACAAGGCCTTAGACATGTAGGTTGCCTAGCTAGCATACCGTTGCTTCAGTAGATTTCTTAGCTAGGTATATCCTTTTCCCCACTTTTATGCTAGCCCTAATGCTGTGGCCAATAAAATGCAGGAAGTGCTGGTGATGTGTTAGAAGATAACCCTGTTGGGAGGCTCAAGGTGTATGTCTATGATCTCCCCAGCAAATACAACAAGAAGCTGCTGAAGAAGGATCCTAGGTGCCTGAACCACATGTTTGCCGCTGAGATCTTCATGCACCGGTTCCTGTTGTCAAGTGCTGTCCGAACTTTTAATCCTGAGGAAGCAGATTGGTTCTACACACCCGTATACACAACATGCGATCTGACCCCTAAGGGTCTTCCCTTGCCTTTCAAGTCTCCTCGAATGATGCGTAGTGCGATCCAGCTGATTGCTACGAATTGGCCTTACTGGAATAGATCAGAGGGCGCTGATCATTTCTTTGTCACACCCCATGACTTTGGTGCTTGCTTTCATTATCAGGTACAACACTAGTAGATTAATTGAGTAGCGGTTGCATACTTGCATGCGTTTATTTATCCTTGTACTAATGAAGATTAGATGTTCAACAATGATAGTTTAGTAGTGCATAGTGCCGAAACAACTGGGACATATCTAATTTTTACAGTAAACATGGGGGCGATATGGGGTATCAAGATGCTTGTATCAATATGAATGAAGAATGAACTACTCTAACTAATTGGTTCAGGCTCCATACGTTCTTTTCCCCTTTTAGAAGAAACATGCCTGATGGTTCAGGCTCCATACGTTCTTTTCCCCTTTTAGAAGAAACATGCCCGAGATTTTAGTTTACTTAGATACCATTCTGATATCCATATTGATCGTTCACTGACCACCTAGTAGAAATAATCACTTACTAGACTTCCAGTCTTCCATTTGACTACTGTTACTGTCTATTTCAAATTTTCAATATCTTGATGTTTCTGTAATAATCATTTCCACTGTTTCAGGAAGAGAAAGCAATTGGACAGGGAATCCTTCCCTTGCTTCAGCGTGCTACGCTGGTTCAGACCTTTGGACAGAAGAACCATGTCTGCCTGAAGGATGGGTCCATCACCATCCCGCCATATGCGCCTCCTCAGAAAATGCAGACTCACCTTATCCCTGCAGACACCCCTCGATCCATCTTTGTGTACTTCCGAGGTCTGTTCTATGACACTGGCAATGATCCTGAGGGCGGTTACTATGCAAGGTAATTCATCTGTCTGTCTACAAGCAGTAGACTTGACACCTCACTCGTTTTTCATCCTGCCATTGCATCCTGGGTCTAGTCTCTGATGACATTGCCTGTTCTACAGAGGTGCTCGTGCGTCAGTCTGGGAGAACTTCAAGAACAATCCGCTATTTGACATCTCGACCGATCACCCACCAACATACTATGAAGACATGCAGCGCTCAGTGTTCTGCCTGTGCCCATTGGGCTGGGCACCATGGAGTCCCAGGCTAGTGGAAGCCGTGGTCTTTGGCTGCATCCCTGTGATCATCGCAGATGACATCGTCCTTCCCTTTGCGGACGCCATCCCATGGGAGGATATCGGTGTTTTCGTTGCCGAGGAGGATGTCCCACAGCTGGACAGCATCCTGACATCCATTCCCACAGATGTCATACTGAGGAAGCAACGGCTCCTTGCAAACCCATCGATGAAGCAGGCCATGCTGTTCCCCCAGCCTGCTCAGCCAGGAGATGCATTCCACCAGATACTAAATGGTCTCGCGCGCAAGCTCCCGCATGGTAGCAATGTCTTCCTGAAGCCTGGTGAGAAGGTCCTGAACTGGACCACTGGACCACCTGGCGACCTGAAGCCTTGGTAGCATCTTGTGGAACTGAGATGGATGTGACTTCTTCGGAAAGGAAGTATCGAGAACATGATTATATATACCTGTGCCTTTGAATTACAATGGGTGCACATAGTGCTGACCACAAGCCAAATGTACATTTTTTTTTCTTCTATAACTGTTATATATGTCTTCATTTCTTTTTTCCCCTTTCTCATTCACTAGATGATATAAGAGTGCCAAGCCCTGTCGACCATATGTATATGATAAATGAAATTTACAAGATTGTACTACTCATGCTGATTGTTGATCTCATTTCATTATCCTACTGCACTGCAGTTGCCATACTTTCCATTGTGTTGTGGTGCTCGACCTGGCTGATTTTGATTCCTTTTGATTCTGCGTGTCTGAATAATTAGGTGACAAAGGTGAAACTGCTATCTGAAGCAAGATCCTCATAGGGAAGGCTGTCCGATCTGCTGATCAGGCAGCACGTCAATTCGGTCTTTTAACTGAATGTTGCTGAGTTCTCAAGGAATGTTGGGGCAAATTGCGATCGCCCATGTGATGTGAGTGCAGTAACCTAGAGAACGATTGCTGGTTGGTGGTGCAAAGATGGTGGTGGTAGATAGGTTAGGAAATGAGGTCAACATCAGGACCTGCACTTAGTTGGGATGTCACCGCCGAACTGAAATGGTAACTGATGGCAGCTCAGAAATATATCTAAGAAACAAGGTTGCCTGTTGGGTACTTGGGTCTGGTGTTATGTTCCTAAATGGCCACAAACAATGGAAATGGTAGGAGTTTGTATTCTTTTTTTTTTTTTAAAAAAACTTCAGTAAGGCTTGGTGACTGGTTCGTGAGGTCAACGAAAGGAGTGGGAAGGTAGAAAAAACATTATGGCGTGCCATGATCTACCAAACTGGCTGGAGAAGACGACGAAAACGACCACCTAACACTGGCAGATCAGACGATCCAAGTCAAATCTAGTAGGTAACGAGGAGAAAATAAAAAAAAAGATTTTTAAAAAAAAGAATTAAAAAAGATGGCATGAAGTGTGACCTAAGCAAAGCGAAACAACGTTGCAAAAAAGGAGGAGGCAGTACCAGCAATAGCCAAGTACTACTCGTACCACTTTCCTGGAATTTTATTTATTTATTTTTCAAGGACAAAACCACTGCTGGTAGTGCTGGTAGGAGGAGTCCATGGGAATGCAAAAAAGTCATCTTGCAGACAAACACAGGGAACCTGGCACCTGGCAGGCACCCACCACCTCCGCCGACAGCGAGCACGGCCACCACCAACACCATCACCCCTGCCATACTCGCTTTGACTCCGCGTCCGGGCGCCTAATAGCCTTCGCTTGAACTTATCAACCGCCAGTATTTTTTCTCCTTCAGCCGGCTGATAATACCAGCCGAACAGTATCCCAGGCTATTCTCTCCGCCTGCCAAGAACCCCGCCAATTGCCTACCACCTCTGCTAGACTCCGCGTTACCCCTGAGCAGCTGCCGAGAGTGGAGGGAAGGCAGGCGCTCAGACTAATGGGGACGGGGAGCGCGACGGCGCAGGCCCTGGCGCTGGTGGCGTTGCTCCTCGCCTGCTCCGACGTCGTCGTCGTCGCGGCGCAGGAGACTGAGCGGATCCAAGGTACGCGCCCTCGGCATCTCCCTCGCCCTTGCTTCGTCGTCCTCTGCTTTGCTTCTCTTGCGAGTTGCGACTGCCATGATCCGATTAGTGAATTATGCGTTGCCTGCGCCCGTCGGGTGTTGATCTGGGGAATCCGTCCGTGCTCGTCGCCGCGTTTCTGCTGGCCGGAGTGGATCTGATGTTGAGGCCCTGGGAAGACGAGCGAGCGCGTAGTTGGCGAGATAGATCAGGTCTTACTGCCAGAGATGATTCCACACTTCCTTTGTGGATCCATGAACGGACTAGCAACTAGGTGCTCCCATTCATTCTAGCGCTCAGCGCGCACAATGAATTATTTCATCCTGGAAAGGAATAAAATTCAAATATTGAGATCAAACCTGCCATTACTTTTTTTACGCAGTCTGCAATGGATCATGATCCTACCTTGTATATGCTCCAAAATGACAAACTCGATTACCTCAAATTTGTCATTTTTTTATGGATTCAAATACGAGTTTGCACCCACAACATTTGCGCTAAACGTATAAAGTACATCTGTGGATGCACTTTGGAGTGCCATGATTTAAAAAAATTTGAGCCATTGAATTACATTTTTTTGAATTCATTTCCACGGTTCCACCTAAGATATGGTTTCTGGTACATATGTTGCCCACTAACTACACTTATTACTTATCGACTTCATAGAACTGCGAAGGATCCTTCAAACTCTTTATTGATGTCATATTTAGCTACACTCTGAGACTACTAAAACAGTTCTGCTCGTCAAGTTTTTTTTAGAAAGAAGGTTCCCCTGCTTTTGTATTTCAAAAAGCAAACAGCAGTTCAAGTTCAGCGTTTTCAAGTGCACCCGCCTCACAGAAAGCCTTAAGGCACATTAACAGAAACTTCGCTCAAACTCTCAGCATTACATTCAACGATACTCTCATTTCGCCGCTCCAAAACCACTGCCCGTCAAGCTATAATCACCCACTACTAGTTTTCATAACTTGCTTGTGTTCCTACTTGCTATATAGTTTCAATTATGCTTTGCCTGAACAAAAAAAAAACAAAGTACTTTTGCAAAATTGTTAAACTCCATTGTATTAGGACCATGGTTTTTTTTCTCAAATAGGCAAGAGATCTGTGTATCATTGCATTAAGAAGAAGAACACGAGTTTACAACAGCACCAAAACACACAAACATGATCAAGATAGACCAGCCAGACAATCTATGAGCCAGAACCTCCAAATGAATAAAACCTCTATCACCATCTAGACACCAGAGATGGACTTCCTTGGCGATTTTTCTAAGAACTAGCTGTATACTAGTGTTGGCTCCATTGAACACCGTGTTATTTCGATGTTTCCACAGAGACCAAGCGACCAAAATAATCAGAGAGTTAAGGCGTCGCTTGAGAGCTCTGGGGATCAAGTCATTTACCCTCAACCACCACTCATTGAACATCATTGTATTGATCATGGTATTAAGGTGCATAATCCTCATGCTTTCAATGCGGATGTGATTAAATTTCAGGAAGTGCTGGTGATGTGCTTGAAGATGATCCTGTTGGAAGGCTCAAGGTATATGTCTATGAGTTGCCTCCCAAGTACAACAAGAATATACTAGCAAAAGATTCGCGATGCCTCAGCCACATGTTTGCTACAGAGATATTCATGCATCGCTTCCTGTTGACAAGCGCGGTCCGGACTCTAAATCCGGACGAAGCTGATTGGTTCTATACTCCAGTATACACAACGTGCGACCTTACACCATGGGGTCATCCCTTGACTACGAAGTCTCCACGAATGATGAGAAGCGCGATTCAGTATATTTCCAAGCGTTGGCCCTACTGGAACAGGACGGAGGGAGCAGACCATTTCTTTGTCACACCACATGACTTTGGAGCATGCTTCTATTTCCAGGTGAGTCACAGAGCCATAAACCATGAATGAATCCTACTATATATGAGTACCAATGCAACTAGGAATGCAAAGTGATAAAATCGAATTCCAGCCTAGCCGTTTCCCCATATATACACAGCATCTGTTCTAGCACCATCCACCTACCGTGCACTCAAAATTCCTACTGTCCTACTGTTCAGGAAGAGACGGCCATCCAGCGAGGTGTCCTTCCGGTGCTGCGCCGTGCTACGCTGGTCCAGACTTTTGGGCAGAAGCATCATGTGTGCCTCAAGGAAGGCTCCATCACCATCCCGCCGTATGCTCCTCCTCATAAGATGAGAACTCACATTGTTCCGCCAGAGACCCCTCGGTCGATCTTTGTCTACTTCCGTGGTCTGTTCTATGACACTGCAAATGATCCTGAGGGTGGTTACTATGCAAGGTACGCACCTAAACTGTGTACCTGACAAGGAGTCTTATTAGTGAATCATCATTGATTCGAAAGTCTGACGCACCTCCTACCGTGTGTATGCAATGCAGGGGCGCCCGTGCGTCAGTATGGGAGAACTTCAAGAACAACGCTCTGTTCGACATCTCGACAGAGCACCCACCAACCTACTACGAGGACATGCAGCGCGCCATCTTCTGCCTGTGCCCACTGGGGTGGGCGCCATGGAGCCCCCGTCTGGTGGAGGCCGTGGTGTTCGGCTGCATCCCCGTGATCATCGCCGACGACATCGTGCTCCCGTTCGCGGACGCGATCCCGTGGGAGGAGATCGGCGTGTTCGTGGCAGAGGACGACATCCTGAAGCTGGACACCATCCTGACGTCCATACCCATGGAGGAGATCCTCCGCAAGCAGAGGCTGCTGGCGAACCCGTCGATGAAGCAGGCGATGCTGTTCCCGCAGCCCGCGGAGCCGAGGGACGCGTTCCACCAGGTGCTCAACGGGCTGGCGCGGAAGCTGCCCCACGGCAAGGGCGTGTTCCTCAAGCCCGGGCAGAAGGTGCTCAACTGGACGGAGGGGACCCGGGATGACCTCAAGCCGTGGTAGGTGTATTGTATAGTATAGTGGCGACTGGTGAGGCACCGTCACCATTCGCCGTGGCTGGTGCTCTTTTGTAAACGACAACAACCAGATGAGAGGCTGAGCGATGATGGTGATGCTGATGAGTGAACCACACAACCATTGATGATTAAAAATGTAAAGCTCTTCTCTTGCTCCAACCTTTCTTCGTTTTGAGGCAATGTGCCTGTCTGTCTTGCCTGTATATAAGTTTTGAGGCAATGAACCACACAACCATTGATGATTAAACTAGTATAAGTACATGGCAATTCAGGGTGGCCTGGGCAAGACAAAAGTTGAGGTGCCAAGACACTTCTATATATTAACTAGCATGTCTTGACAGCAATTCATTGGATACGAAACACAGCCTGTTCTCATCCGTTTTTTCAGTTCATGTTTTAAATGCAGACAATATCATCTTTTTGGACAGAAACGCTTCTTTTTGGGTTCCAACTTTGCTTAGTTTATTTTTTCTAACAAAAAACCTCTTTTGGGGTTCCAGCTTTGCTTAGTTTATTTTTTCTAACAAAAAACCTTGCAATAAGTTTCAAATATGGATCGCAAACAGTTGCCCAAACGAGAAACTTCGCAGCTCTGCCTGAGCCCTAAGCCTAGGAACCATAGTTTTTAACTCTTTAGAATTGGAAAGGGGGGCGTAGGAAGGCGCACCCCCTCTTATTCTCTTAAAACAAATTGTGGGTAAAAAAATTCCTACCAAACTATTATGGGAGAAAAATTCAGACGGGGACAGTCCTAGTGGGGCATCTTCAGGCACTATGACACGACTTCTTTATTAGGCACCATAACGGATCAAAAGATACATGTAGAGTCGCGTTATAGTGCCCAAAGATACGAACTGTACATTTCGCATGTGCAATGGCCACGGGACTTCCGCTTGGCATGCCCAGGTAACTGTTGATATTAGGGCCGGATATCGAGTCAGCTCGGCCCGGCTCGGTCCATCTCGAGCTGGTTCGTTAGGCTAATGAGCTAGCTCGGCTTGGCTTGTTAATATTACGAGCTAGAGGAGTAGCTTGGCTCGGCTTGTTACCGAGCTCAAGCTGGCTCGTTTAGCTCGCGAGCTATAAAAAAAGACATACATATTTATAATGTTTATGCTATATTAATTTCAAAAGGTGACGTTCACCGTTATGCAACCATACATGATTAATATATATTAGGTTCATCAAAAATATCAACCATACAATATAGCTAGTCCATCCATGATCATACAGTTCCAACATACTAACTAGTTGATTGCCACCACAGATTCAATGTCAGCACCATCATTTTCTTCCTGGAAAACAATCCATAAAATCAACATTTAAGTACCACAACAATTATAAAATTAAAATTCATATGAAACAACTAAAAATAAGAATTACATACTAATAAAATAGATGTACACTTCTAGGTTAGTATCATCATCTTCTGGATTTATGGTCGTGGACTAATAAGCCTCAGCTTGTAAGCAGCTCGCGAGCTGGCTCGTTAAAATAGCGAGCTAGACTTACAGCTCAACTTATGAAAAAATTAAAACGAACCGAGCCGACCACGAGTCGAATGAGTTAGCGAGGCGTGAGTACCTAGTTGACATTCACGGTGCAGGTGGCGCTCATTTTACAGCGGGAGCTCGCGCACGCATCCAGCTTTGCCTGCCGAAGTGGTGCTAAACGAAAGACGTGTTCAGCTACGCTCTGCAGCTGCAGCTGAGTTCACGATTTCTCATGGCGCTACTGAGACATGGAGACGTATATGGGCCTTTAAGATTGGGCCGAAAGGAATCAGTCAGACTGCAGGCTGCAAAGGATCTGGTAGGCTCTCTAGCTTTCCTTCTCCTTTCCTTCATAAAACATGGGCTCCGTTAGAAGCTTTGTTTTTACTTTCTAATTCTGCAGCTGCACGCTCTCGTGGTATGGGTAAAAGAATTCCATCCAAGAAAAAGATAAAAAGATTACATATGCTGCTACTGTACTTTCAGAATGTGCAAGAGGATGGCTTAAACCACAACCTGAACCTAAAGCGAAGAAGTCCAAAATTATTGTTTCTTATATATACCGTACAAACACCTGCAAACCTCATGTGCACATGTTTTATACAGTACTCCCTCCGTTCAGGAAAACACGCATCTATAAGTTGCGTGCCAGATAAAGTTGTTCACGTTTGACCAAGTTTTTAGTGAATAATATTCATATTTATGACTCTAAATTAATTTATTATGAAAAATATATTTCATAATCGATCTAATGATATTTATTGATGTTATAAATATTTATAGTTTTTATCTATAATTGGTCAAACATGATATACTAAAACATGGTACTGTGCTCATGTTTTCTTGGACGGAGGGAGTACAAACACAAGTTGTCAGCCGTCCAAACAGCGTGTGACCCAAAAGGAAGCAGAGACCGTCGCGGAGTCGACGATCAACCCAGCCACGAGGACGCCGTAGTACACGAAGACGGACGCCTTGCCGTGATGGGAGAAGATGAAACTCAGGCGCGCTGATTATTAGGTATGGCGGAATTGTGACCAGGTGTGTGTGTGTGGGGTGGGGGGGGCAGGTCGAGCCCTCCTACCTCGGGACGCCTCAGAAGCCTTCCCTTTAGCCCTGTCAGGAACTATCATCAATTGGGCTGGGTTATGTCATTATATTTAGACTGGATTATACTTTTCACGCCTCTCAACATTAAAGTCCAAAAAATACTCTTGCAGTGGTGTTAAAATGATCCATTCGTTTTTGCCTATTTTCCAGGTTTTCTCAGCCCATAAAAATGGCAAGTTTGTTGAGTGTTGCCATGATTCTGATTCTAGTGAGTTTGAGCACTACGACCTCCTGGGCTTCCAACTGCCCAGGTGGCTACTTTACACCAGGTAGTCCATATAGCAGTAGCCTGAAGGCGGTGGCAACAATCCTGCCCAGAAGAGTGGGATCTTCCCCAGTCTTGTTTGCGAGTGAGTCTATTACTTCACGTGGGGGCGGGGAGGTCTACGCATTCGCACAATGCTGGCGAGGCTCATCTTCTCCACTCTTGTTTGCGAGTGAGGCTATTACTTCACGCAAGGGTGGGGAGGTTACGCATTCGCGCAATGCTGGCGAGGCTCTCAGAGCTCAATATGCGAGAGATGTGTTACCGCGGCTTTTGGAGATGCAAGGGTTGTTTGTCAGTCCGGGGAGGGCGCGTTTATATTCCGTGATAAGTGCACCGTAGGCTATTATATGAAGAGGATAGAGATGTTCCTTGATGACCCTTCAATCGGTATAGCTACGAGGAGACTTGAGAGCACTCAGATAGTAATTCAAAGCAACACATTTGAGGATGCAGTGCATTGATTGATACACAAAGGCAGATTTGTCATCGGTTCGGGCGGGGGGCACAAGCCCCTTGTCCGGTGCGGCAGAGGCGGCGACGCAGACCGGCAAGCGGTGTTAGTAGTAGACTGGTGCAGGAGAGGTGGCGACGCATTGAGGGTGTTCTCAGTGTGTTTCTCAAAAATACTAAAACAACAACTGTACATTAAGCACATGAGTCAATAAGCGGATCAAAGGTTCTATTGTAAATTAAGCAAATTTAGTAATTGCAATGGATCACAGTTCAAGGTACAACCAATTATATACCTAGCATGACTAGTTTTTTTCTTTGTTATAAGCTAGTTTATATTCATCTACTTCTATCGTAGCATATGAAGATGCATTTGGAAGTGTCCTTAAAATTATCAACCAAAGCTCGTAACCAGAAATAAAAATGAGAAGTGAGAGAAGAACATAAAGGTCTAAGATTATTTCTGGAACGCCTAGCAAGAAATGTAGAACGAAAGAAAAAGTCAACGAAGAGCACTACTGTGACTAATGCCAAGCTAAGGGCAGGGCTTGTTTGATAACATGTAGTTATTAGTTTGGGCCAAAAATTAATCAAAATAGTTTTGGTTTGATAGCTAGTTGGCTAGAGCATCTCCAAGAGTACCCAATAATCCTTCCCAATCCATGTTTTTTTTGGAAAAATGAAAAAAAAATCTATCTTTAACAACTCCCAAACTCACATCCCAATCTTTTGGCACTTGTGAAAAAGCCCCTTTGCACGTAAAGATCCGTGGAGTCGAGGTTGCGCGTATCCTTCTTTCCCCGTGTGGTATCCTCCTTGGCGCGGCATGGAGCCCCAAAGAGAAGTGTGGTGCAAGCAGACGCCTTGCAGATGAGCCTTGCCGGGAGGACGCCGGAGAGCGCGCCCTCCGCTACCACGCCGCCGCCGTCATGCCCACCACCTCGAGAGCACACAGGTGAGCCACCATGGCCTTCCCCGTGAAGCCGAGCGCTCTCACGGGTAAGCGTGGTCCTTGGCATGCCACCGCGCCACCCCATGCCGCTGGCATGGCCCTTCCGGCCGGGATCGGTCACTCGCTCTCGTCCGCGTGTGCTCTATTGCGAGCCTAAGAAGAAGAAGGGAGTGGGAAAGGAAAAGGAAAAGGAGGAAAGACAGGGTGAGAAAAGCGCAAGAGAGAAAGATCTGTTAGGAGGGCTTAAACAAGTATAGAAACAAATTCAGGGTTCATGATGCAAAAGTGCTGCAGTATTGCAAACTCTTGGAGATGACCTTCATTATTCCTCCAATACTTTTTTGGAAGTTGCAAAACTCTATGTTTTTGGAATCAAAATATAGGGCACTCTTGGAGATGCTCGTTGAAGGCTTAGGTAAAAAATTAGCCCAGCTATTAACTATCCTAATTGGAAGCAATAGAGCTAATTTAAGCTAAAATTAGATAGCTAACCATGAGCCCATAATATCAAAACATGCCCCCTAAATACAGGAAGCATAAGCAAACAAAAGTTAACCTATCTCGACTATCAGATGGGGGGCTCAACTAATCATCGAAGCGGTCAATCCCACAACCCCCCATGGATTTTTCCTTTTTAGAAAAAAAATTATTTTCACAACTTTTTTTTGTGAAAGTTGCAAAGTTAAGATATAACTTATGTGCATAACTTTTTA